AGATCATTATATAATAAAAATACTTACAAAATAAAAATAAAACGAAAATCTTGTGCATCCAAAATTATACTTGAACATTGAAAGCATATATTATTAGGTATAAGAATTAACATTAATAAAATAAAATAAAGCATAAACTAATTTTCGATTAAACTCACAACTTTTTTTATTTAAAAAAAATCGATATTTGCCGCCAAAGTTTGACCCGTCTCCAAGGTTTGATCGCCTCAACCCGCCTCGGGCCGCCTCGAACCACCTAAAATGCTCACAGGCAAAACCCTAAATTTCAAATCTTTACACTAAAATCGTAAAGGTTGTAGACCGCTTCCGTCTCGGAGACCGATTAATCAACCACCTCGACCGATTTTTAAACAGTGCTCATTTGTAATAGCTCCCTTAAAAAAGAGAGTGTTCTCCCTTACATAAATTTTCCAAATGTGGGGGTGTTGCTAATTTTCCCTTCTATTGTTGTAAAACATTAGTTGGAATCAATTGAGAAAATGCTTGTGTGGTTGTTTGGATTCCTAGGTTGTTGTCTCATGGTGTTTGATTTTAGCGTCTATGACAAATAAGCCCATTATGTGCTAGTTATTCATAAAGGGGTTCGAACAAAAAACTCTTATATAAAATAATTCAGACAATTTTCAGAGGTGTGCAAAAGATTAAAATACCCTTCACATTTTAATATGCTCCAATTTCATCATTTAATTCAATGTAACCTCAGTTTAACCCCAAATTTCACCAATTATTTAATTTTGACCCGTAACCAAATTTTGACTGCAATTTCGCGCGTCGCCATCGTTGACCGCCTGTCTCTACATGAACTTTTTTTTATAATTTTTTGTCAACACTTTTTGGCTTGTTTAAACAGTAATATTGATATATTACTCTCTAGTACAGTAATATTAACACAACAAACATCACTATTATTGTGTAATAGAGTAATATTAATATATTTACCGTTTAACAAAGACAAACATAATAAAAAGCCAAAAGAATTAATATGGATATGGTTGACAATAATATTACTGTCAACCACAGTAATATTATTGTAACGACACTAATATTACCGTCAACCAAATTACTATTATTGTGTTTACAGTAATATTACTATAGTAGACAGTAATATTGTTACGTTAATCGGTTAACAAATCAAACAAAATAAAAGGGCTAAAAATAATATAATATGGATGTGATTGACAATAATATTATTGTGTTTACAGTAATTTTACTGTCAAATATTATTACATTGACTGGTCAACAAATTTAACAAAATAAAAAAGTCAAAAAAATAATAATATTGATGTGATTGAGTGTAATATTATTGTGTTTACAGTATTTGTTTGTTAACGACAATACAGTTACGGTCAATTGACAGTACAATTACTGTTAGTGACAATACAATTACAGTTAATGATAGTACAATTATGGTCAACGTTCAGCGGCGAGCGTAAAAAGTACAGATACAATTTTTAGAAATAAAAAAAATAAAATAATCAACGCCGGAGACCGGCGGTAAAAAAAAAAGTAAAACAAGAAAAGGTCAAAATTGGATTTTTGTTATCAAATTGATAAAATTGAAGTTAAATTGGGGTTACAATTAGGAATTGGGTTTAAACGATTGGGTAATTTTGTCATATACATTAATTTTGCCTTTATTTATAATAAATATTAAAGGGTTACGCATATTAGCGAAAACGATATAACTCTGAACATAGAGTAATAAAGATTGTTGGTCATGTACTTATGCATAAAAGCCCCTCAATTTTAATCTAGGGGCTCTTATATAAAAGAATCCCAGAATATTATAATAATAGGAAGTTGTTCATTCATATTTTCACTCTAAGATAATTAGGACCGGCAATTGAGCGGGGCCTTACCGAAGCCCGATGGCTCGACCCGATTATATTTGAGTTGTGCTTAGATTTTTTTAGTGAGTGGGGTCAAGTTTGAGTCATTTTACTATACCCGATTCATTTATGAGCCGAGTTTAAGTCTACTATGGCTCAACCCAAATAAGGCCCGACCGATTAAGTTAATAATAAAATCTATAATATATTTATTTTTTTAATGATATGACTCAACATACAAGTTACGACCGTATAAGATATTTTATTTTGCAAAAAAAAAAAAAAAAAGAAGAAAGTCAAAAATAAAAGGAACTAAGTGGTGGCGGTGGCAATAGGAATCAAATGCACCATACCCACTGATACCTAATTGCTGAAATTTATCATCGAGATTTGAGAATATAAAAAACGCTTTCAATAATAAGAGTTACTAATTCTTTTTACTTCTTTCAGTTTTTTATTATAAGTTTTTACAACAACTTGCAAATGTCGTTTATGATTTTTTTTGGATTGGCTTCAATCGAGGTAAATCTTGATTATCACTTGTTTTTTATAAATTTTGTTTTTCCTTATTACAATTATATAGTAATGAGGCCCGATATAAATCCGAAGCCCGAAAAAACATGAGTCGAGCTGGAGCCTATGCTAATGAAGCCTGATGGTATGTGAGCTTGAGCCTATAGTAATAAAACTCGATGGTATATGAGCTTGAGCCGACCCAAACTCGACTCACATGGCCCGATTGATATCCCTAGAGATAATTCATACTCTCTCTGTTCCACAATAACCGTCTCTTTTTTAAAATATTTTTATTCCATATTATCTGTTACTTTAGATTTCCACTAATGCATTAAATGCATTTTTCATGTTTTAACCTTATTAATGAAACTCTATTCAGTAATTTTCTCTTATAAATCATTAAATAATAAAGGTTGTTTTAGTCATTTTTATATAATTTTTCTAAAATCAAGATATATTTATTGCGTTTCTTAATCTTTGTGAAAAGTGAAAAATGACAATTATTTAGGAACGGAGGGAGTATTACTTATGCTATTTTCTACTCCCAAAATAGTCTTTTCAGTTTTCACTATTTTATTCTCACTATTTCCGCTCCATCCCAATTTTTCTTTTAAAACTATTTTTCATTTTTTAATAATATATTTATTTATGTTTAATCTTAAAAAAAAAAAATCATCAAGTTCATTAATCGATTACGATACGATACTAAACGTAGTGGATTAAGGAATCCCACTACTAAAATAGTGGGTGATTAATGTAGTAAATTTCAAAACTGACAAAAACAACTCTAATACCGTGACATCCAACACAATTCATCACATCCCAACCCAATTCAACAGCGAAACCCGAAATAAATTACAACCAGTCGCAAAAATACCAACACCAACTACAAAAATAGCGAAAATAAAGTGACCAAATAATAAACTACAGTAATCAACTACTGAATTTCTATTAAGTTACTACTAAAATCAATACCTATAAACTTTATAACGCAAGAATCCAGTTCCATACACTACAAAAACAAAAATCGAAGTATATATTATGCACAAATATAACTTCTAAATTAAAATCTGTATTGACATAAATAATAATAATAATAATAATAATAATAATAATAATAATAATAATAATAATAATAATAATAATAATAATAATAATAATAATAATAATAATAATAATAATAATAATAATAATAATAATAATAATAATAATAATAATAATAATAATAATAATATTTTCATGACCACTGTATAAGAAATTGAATTTTAACTTTATTATATTTAATATACTACTTAATTTTACCTTTTAATCACTAATTAAAATAATATAACAAATTATTTTTTTAAATATTATGTAAATTTAATTTTAAATAATAAAGTAAATAACCTGAGAATATATATAAAAGAAACTAATACATGTTATTAGAATTTCCATTTTGTTATTGGAGAGATATTGGACTAATCAGAACAAGACCTTTTCGAAAAATTCTATTTTTTTTGGAAGTGAAAAACCAGTTCCAATTCCGTTTCGAAAAAAAAAAATCAAAATGAGAATTTTGGAAATTGGAATGAATAAACGTACTCCATAATGGAAAATTTCGGATCATAATTGGTAGAGTTTGGAAATTTATATTTTTTGGTCACCTAAAATATAAAATACACAATAATATTGGCATTAAGTGTAATATTCGGGAAAACAATCGCAATTTTCAGCTTATTTTCAAACTTAAAATCCAATCGGAAATCCGAATTTTACATATATTCTAATTTCGATCAAAAAATTTCCGAAAAGTCAAAATTCAGAATTTCGAAATTCATATTAAAAAATATTGTTTCAAAATCAGAAAATTTCGTATTAAAATAAAAAAAAATCAGAAATTTCATTCCAATTTCCAACGAGAACCGTGGGAGTTAAAAAGTGTAAAAGTACAAGTTTAGCACACTTGGAAGTAGGGGTGGGCATTCGGGTCGGGTCGGGTTATTCGGGTTATTCGGGTCGGGTTATTCGGGTTTTTTGCAAAAAAAAAATTACCCGAACCCGACCCGAAATAACCGGGTACCCGGTTATCTCGGGTCGGGTTCGGGTTTCGCTATTTTCCTCTTTTTTTTTTTTTTTTATTTTTGGTTCGTCTCGAAAAATAAACAATAACTGAATTTACTTCAAATATATATAAATGTAGATATGACGTCCTCGTCGACGTCTCTATGGATGGACATACATATACAACATACTAGGTGTATTTAGATATATGTATCCAGATAACTAAACGGGTAAATGCCTATGGGTAGAGAGGGCGAGTCAAGG